GAGAGTGTGTCATCGTCATCAGAGGCTTGGGAGAGCCTCCTGCTTCAGAGTGAGTGAGTGAGAGATAGTGTGTGTGTTTCTCTCTCTCTCTCTCTCTCTCTCTGTGTGTGTGTGTGTGTGTGCATGTGCGTGGGTGTCCAGGGAGAAAAGCTGCTGTTTTCTTCTTTTAAAAACTGTTCTGGGTGGGTTTTGGCTGGGGCAGGTATGTTTCTGTGCTGTGTTGTTAGTGGCTTTGCTGTTTATTTTTGGAGTTTTTTTCTTCTTCTTAAAACTCAGCAACGGAGCACTTTCTGTGTTCTTTTTATTGTTTTGGTGATTTTTTTTCTTTGGCTGGAACGGATTAATCAGTTTTCAATGCATTCCTATGGGAAATGGTGCTTTGACTTACGAACGTTTCTAGTTAAGAACACCATTCCAATACAGATTAAGTTCATAAGTCGAGGCACCACTGTAGAAGGAAAATTTGGCAGCTGGAGCTGGTCGTAACTCAAAATGGTCGTAAATAGGGACATTCAGAAGTCGAGGCACCACTGCAGTTGACTCTCCCACTCTCTATTTAACAAATAACTTTAGCATTCACAAGCAAGGTTTTGTATTCTTTTCAAAAAACACAACAGGAAATCTGTTTTCAGATATCTTTTTTTTTAAAAAGCATGGCCCTTTTGACTCTCCCATAATTTTTCCACTACAGTCTATTTTTATTTGGATGGAAATGTGAGGATGTGTCATTCTATATTAGTGGGAATTGCTTTTATAGCATGATATATTCAGCCTAAAATGATAAGATCATAAGGCTGCATTCCTTCCAAAACCAAGAAAGAAAGAAAAACTTTTTTTAATTATATTTTTTCTTCCTTTCTGACTGTCTTTAGAGTCCCCTTGCATCCCTATGTCTCTATTAACATTAATTTCTAATTTTCCTCAGAACACCTATCTGAGAATTTAATTCTTACTGGCTTTAACAGCCTCAGTATAAATATCTTTGATAGTCTATGTTCACTGTGAACTTTCATGTGGAACATAAGTTCATTCAGGTGTTTGGCTCATTTTCATATATTGATAAAAGCGATTAAGAATATATGAATGTTCTTTGCTGATTTCATTTTAGAACATTATTTATATTTATTCAGGAGAGTAGAGTTACCATAGCAACATTTGCAGTTATAAGAACTTGAGCAGAATAGTTCATCAGAGGTTTGCTAGGTTTCCTCTTTCTTATAGGCATCACAGACTAGCTGTAACTGCAAAACATCCTTTTGCAATTTTACCTAAAATCCTGTTCACAGCAGTTCCATCAGAGAGTAGAAATTATGATTCCTTGGAACTATTCCAAGAGACCTTTCAGGAAGACTTCCATTTGAACATAGAATGCCAGCTCTTTCCTTACTGGAGGGGAGGGTATCATTACACTCCCTTGATGACACAGGGCTCCTACTTGTGGGCCAAGCAGGGGCTCTGGCTGGTCCAGATGAGACTGTGAAGGGCAGTTTTCTGTCCAGTCACTTAGCAGGCTTTTCAAGGGGGGGGGGCTGCACCACTCAGCCTCTTTACTAGGCCATCCCGCCTCCCTCATTCACCTTCTTTAGGAGGCCTCTTCCCTCTGCCTCCTGCAATTGAGTTTACGGTATATCATCTGCCAGTTTTCTAAAGCTGGAGAAGAATTTCACTCAAAGACCAAATTGGCTACGAGCGCTTCACGTTTTTACCTTCCCTGTAGCAATTCAGGTTCTTTGTGCATTTGATCGTATGTTCATGCCTGGTGGGGCTTTTTTTTCTCTCTCTCTCTGTCACAACTTTCTCATGAGGTTGTGAACATCAGGCAAGATCCATCTCTGAAAGTAAACAGGTTAAGTTTAACTCATCTCCCCTCAAAGGGGGGGTCTCTATAAATGGCGTCGGGAGAGAGAGCCCACTGCACAAATTTACAGTATTTGGGAAGCTGCATGTTCAGCCTCTCCTTCAGGCAGCATGAGGGACACACTTAGTGATCCACATATTTAGTTTATTTATGTATTTATTTATTTTATTTATATCCCGCCTATCTAGTCCCTCAGGACCACTATGTTTGTCAGATTGCAAATTGCTGCTATGGTAATGTTCAATCTTTGGTCAGGTACATCTTTTATCAAATTCTACCAGTGAATTAATGGAGTTTTAAATGATTTGGCAGTTCTACTGTGAGCAAAGCAGTTACTCATTTCTCTTTGAGCCTCAAACAGAGGGGAGAAGGTTAACAGCTCTTTAATCCTTCCCCTTTGTTCTCCCCCAGGAGGAGGTGTTGGGCAAACTTTCATCACTGCCCCAACACTCAACCTTTTAAAGTAGTTTTACCCTTTGCATGTTCTCAGAAGTCTCTAGAGCCCTAAGAGACACTCATAACAGATCTGTCACCTTGGCAACATGGCAGCCATCTTAACCTTCTCAGTCTTCTTCCTGCTCCTCTGTGCCTGTTACAAGCTGACAACCATGGCAAGTGAATCTCTCAGCAGCTCTGGATGATAGTTGGAAAAGAACAGAACTGTCTTCACCATATGCCCTTGCCTCTGCTTCTCACATGTGGAGAGACCCTCTCTGTGACTGGGACACAGACTAAGAATCCCAAAACATTTGGGTCTGCATCACCTGATCATAGAAAACTTCTCACATCAAGTCATGAAAATACTGTAATAGCCTAATATAATATAATCCTAAATGCCCTCCTAATGTGGGAGTCTTTTCAAAGTTAGGGAAAATCTAGTAAGACAGTTGCTATTGCACTCCTAATCTTTACTTTGAACCCTCATTGTTAAATTTTCAATAGGAGGGCACTTCAAATTATTATTATTATTTATTATTATTTATTTAATTTATATGCCGCCCACACTACCCAAAGGTCTCTGGGCGGCTTACAGCATTTAATGAGGGTTGAACTTTGGTGAATCACAATCTGTGACCAGTCAAGATATGTTACTACAGGAAAAAAACATTAAGTATGTTTTAGATCCAGGGTTCTCAACCAATGATGGTGGATGTACCCATGGTGAGACTCAGAAGTAGTTTAGGTAGGACATAGGGCTTCCATAAGAATTACTAAAAATTCACTCCAATTCCTGTGTCCTCCTGTAAACATAATATGCCCTCTTCTAGTGACGCCACCTGCCTCACCCATCACAAATTCTCCACTTTTGATCTTTTCACATGCTGGCAGCAACTTGGGGCACAGAATGTTTCTCCCAGTCTTCCAGTCCTTCTGCCCACCAACTTAGCTTAAATAATTATAATAAGAGAATGCCCGTAAACACATAAGTGTCTGTCTTGGAAAAAAGTGGGCTATTTGTTTCAGTTTTAATGGGACTCAGGTTCTCTGACACAAAGAGACTGAGATGTAACAGATGAACATTTGAGAACTACTGCTTCAATTAATTTGAAGTATTATTATCGAAAGCTTTTGTTCTGTTCATGGTTGCTATTTATCTTAAGATACAGTTGTGAATCGTTATATAAATGGCAATTAATTCAGATATCAATGTTTTTAAAATAAAGCATCAAGTTGTCTTTCTGCTACGCTGACTGCCACACTAAGTCATAAAGACAAGGTGGGACCTGCCATTAGCCAAACTGAGGCAGACACCTCAGGTGGCAGAATGCTGGGGCCGCTCACTTTCTCCTGCCCAAGCTGAGAGCAGGCTGTGTCACCAGCCTCTCTCTGGCTTTCTGTATGTCTCAGCACTTCTCATTTGACAGTGTAAAGAATGCATCAGTCTGGGGGGGTATGCCTGTATAAAAGTGCCCCCCATCTCCATAATGCCTCAGAATTGGGTCCCTTGGACCCAAGATTTCATTTATGTATCCAGTGGGGGTACACAGGTAGACAGCAGCACTGAAGAAAGTACTGCCGCCGCCCCTACCCTTCTCTCATCTCCCCATGAGTGTTTCAGAGGTGCAATCTTTCTGCCTTGGTTACTGGGACAGCTTGCCTCAGCACTACTCTGGAACAACACTCCAGCTAACATAGTAAGTATTACAACCTTCCTTCTTTTCCTGCAAAACAGGAAAGGCCTAGCATGAGCAGAGACAGGCATAGGAATTTTCCAATACCGTAGGCATAAGTGTGTCAAGTGGAGGCATCATTTCTACCTCCTGGATTGTAAAGCGCTCAAGAATGCTTTATCACTGAGTGTTTCTCTTCCCACTTTTTATCAGCCATGGGCAAAAGGGGTATGTGGAGTGTTTTCAGTTGAAGAGATCAGCTCTAACAAAATGCTCTTGTGAATTCTGTCTGTGTTCCTTTTAGACTGTTGTGGTGCTCTATCTGAGATAAGATTCTAAGATTGTATCAAATCCAATAGCATGCCTTTAAGAGGATGCCAAATACATTTTTCTTTCAGGAAGCATTTAAGAACATCCTTACTTAATTTTCTGTTTATCTGTGCCCCCTGGAGTCTGACATCATATGGGGTTTTATTTAATGTACATTTTTATCTTATTGGTTTTGTTGGGTGGTTGAGGTTATTGTTTATTTTATCCTTGTAAACCACATAAAATAGTGGCTCACAATAAGTCAGTGTTTTATGAATTTACAAAATAAATAAACAAACTAGGAATTGACAGCAATTCCACTGAGCTTGGTACCTAACCTATCAAACTTGCAAAGGAAGCCTGTATTGACCTCCCAATGACCAATCACCACATTAAGCAACCTAATTTACCTGAGAAGGAGGTGGGAAAGCTGGTACTAGGTCAAATAAGACATCTGTTTGCACTTAAGGAATTCTAACCTCTACTGACTTGCTATCTGTATCTTATGTTCCGACTTTCAGTTTCTGCCTATAGCAAACCATATGGCTTAATCATAGCTGACCTAATGTAAATTAGAGAAGTTTCTTATCACCTCCAAGTAGACTGATGAATTTTCTGAAATATGAAGTATGTTAATAATAGATTGTGTTGCTGAAGAAATCTGCAAACGTTTCATGTTTCCTAACACCGTTGGTTAAATGAAGCATCAAATTTTTCTTCAGATACCGAGGATTTGCTACTGATTCAACAGTCGCCTTAATAATTGGCCTCCTCTTCTTCATTATTCCAGCAAAAACATTGTCTAAAACTTCAAATGGAGAAGATAGTTGAGTATATATGCTTTCCTCTGCCTTTTCCTTTAAGTACTATCAGACAAGACTATTGGGAATTTTAATTATCCAACTTATTAAACTTTTTAAAATTCATTCACACCTTCTGTTGTGTGCAGATTCAAAAATTTTAAAACTGGCTTCCAGAAATAAAAACAAAAATTGATGTGTTCAAAACTTGAGCCAAGTGTAAACTCCAGAGTATCTGGGGCTGTAGTAAATATGTGGGACAGGGTTTTCCACTCATTTCAGTGATCGCCGCCAATCCCAACACATGGATTGGTTCTTCCATTTAAATGAAGGAGAGACTCAGATAGGTTAGACTCCTGTCACTATTGTGGCATTCAGTACAGGTTGTTTGCATCCTTCCTACAGCATGTGCTGGAAGGTCACCTATGTCCACAAGCTCTGCTCAGCACACTCAATGAGGGTTAAGTATTGCAGAATTTAAAAATGCAATAGAAAGCCCGTCTCTAAGGCTCTTATGTTTCTCTGTACATCTCTCTGTACATCCCACTACAAAGGTCTGCAGTGGGTTTGTTAGCATGTTCCATGGAGAATGCACCTGTGTATCCCCATGCTTGGTAACCGGGGACTGATCACAAGGACTCTTGTAAATACACTTAGTCAACGCACTTGCAAACCCTCTGCAGATCTCACTATGAAATACATATAAATCTTTAGAGGGGCCGCCTTGCAGGCAGAAACATTGGAGGCAGGGCTTGGATAACTGTCCTTTATGACCCTGCCCCCAGACCTCATGGCTGTAGGTCGAATGCCTGCATAGACACTCTACTAATGAGTAAACTCGCAAAACTTTGCTAACAATGGCATATCCATCATTACGAAGAACAGTTGCAAAGGATAATTCCAGTTCTGGAGTTCAGTCTCTCTGCATAAAATGAAGATGAACGGGAATGGAAAGCTAATGGGATGAGCTTTTTCCTCCAAATATTTCAACAAAATTCTTTTCTCCCCTCTAGTTGCTTTTGATTATTCTCCACTGATAACTTGGAAAGAATTTCAGGCTTGCATGCCATGGGAAATTGCCATTCTCGTTGGAGGAGGGTTTGCGCTGGCAGATGGCTGTGAGGTAATGCAGATTTTTACAACATATTCCAATGATGATGATGATGATGTTGATGATGATATGCTTTAGCCAGTAGCTGGATAACTTCTGAAAGGACACAAGGAGGTATTACTAGACGGCTCTTTGTGTAAATTCCAAACTGTTCAACCATTCATGCAATGGATCAATGTACAAGTGGAAAGAACAAACAGAATTCTGAGTCTTCTTTTTCATAGTAATAAGTCATACCTAAGTTTCATTGGGATTCTAACATAGTAAGGATTCTTTTGTGATATAATCATAACGGTGAGGATCTTAAAGGATTTATATTTACAAGGTGTATTCTGTTACTGTTTTGTACCATGGGGCCAGTGGCTTCAAGCTCTCCAATTCTGAAAAGTAAATAATAGCAATTATTCTTGTTCCTTTTGAAGAATAGAAAAAGGTACTATTGAAAAATTGCAACTATAATTGCACTAACTACTTTTCAAAGGGAGTGAAATTCTAAAAATGAAGAATTGCTATTTAAAAGTAACTTTTTTGTTGTAAATAATGTAATCAAGAAACTGTTCCAGAAGATGTGGAAATAAATAGGAGATTAGCCACAGGATCTTCAGTTATTTGGCATGAAGGGTATGTGCTCTACAGAGAACCTGTCCAAACTGCCATATAGTTATAGTATATGGTTCCCTGACAGGACTGTTTGGCATGAGGGAAAAAGAGACTTCATTCACTTGAGTTTCTACTAAAAACAATCAATCCTTCCCCTTTAAGAGTTGGCATGTATCTTTCTAGTGCAGGTCTAGGGCATGAAATATTTCAGGAACAATTCATTGAGATGCAAAATTGTTCTTTGTTCTGCCTTTGTAGACAGGTACCAATAATTAAAATACATTGCACTGAACATAGGGACCTTTTAAGCACCATCCGAATCACAGTGTGGATAGGCCCACAGTTACAGCAATTTGGTTCTACTTTAACAGCTATGGTTCCGTCTTTTGACCTCCTGGGATTTGTATTTTGATGAGGTACTTAGGATTCTCTGCTAAAGAGCATGAGTATTCCTCTGAGCTACAGCAAATAATTCTTTGTTTCTCTAGTTCAAAGATTCTGTAGAATGGAGCCCTGCAGTTACACTAATTTCACTAACTTCTGTCATCTAGAGTGGTCTCTGCACTAGACCATGTAACTTGTAACTTCAGTCACTCAAAATACTGCTTAGAGATGGGAAAAGTTATAAACCCATGATATAGGTAGCTCCCTAGAGCCTCTCAAGGAAAGCGCTGGAAGAGAAGCTTAGTGCTTTTTGCAATAAAGTTTCGTATCTCTTCATCCATGTCTCATGGGAAAAGTTATAAACCCATGATATAGGAAAATGCTGGAAGAGAAGCTTAGTGCTTTCTGCAATAAAGTTTCGTATCTCTTCATCCACGTCTTCATTTTGCTCTAAAATCTGACCCAGCACCATCCCCATGTTTTATATGGATCTAAACATATTGTTAGGGATCTCCCAAGAACAGAGGTTGAAAACAATTCCTTTTTGGCAAAATGCTGAGCTAACTGGAGGATACTGGGAGAAGTGCTCCCAAAACATAATTGTCCCAAGCTCTGCCTGGGAGTATAATTAATCATTGTTCAAATGTTAGGATTGGTGGGAAGAACTCAAGAGTGCTTTTGTACTAAGCAATGCGTTAAAAGAGAGAGCCTATCTGGGACGATAGATGCAAGTGTTAGACTAGGACTCAGGAGGCATGAGTTGAAACCCCTGTTTGGCCATGGAAACCCATGGGGATGGGTGGTGGCAATGGTAAACCAGGCCATGAACATCTCACATGCTTCAAAGATGTTGCTAGAGCTGACAGAAGTTGGAAGTAACTTGACAACCCTTAACAGCAATGCATTCAAAGGCTCTCCCTGTCCCACAGCATAGCTGTTAAAGATTGCTGGTAGTTATTGTATGACTTAAGCGGCCATAGTTATTTAGAGAAAATATCATTTAGTTTTTGATATGATAAATATATTATCTTGGCACAAACATAATTTATTGTTGAGGGGGACATAGTGGTGCCAAAAATCCCAATGAATCCAGTTATTGGCATGTCCAATTGAGCATCTAGATTAAAAACTGATGACATTCTGTTAATGCAACACATTTAATAATAATGCAACAATTCTTTCTGCAGGTCTCTAAACTCTCAGCCTGGATAGGAAGCAAATTAACTCCTTTGGGCTCACTACCCGTATGGCTGATCATCCTTATTTCATCTTTGCTTGTCACTTCACTCACAGAAGTAGCCAGCAACCCTGCCACTATCACAATAGCTTTGCCTATTCTGGCCCCTTTGGTAAGTAACTATGTTGACTTGGTTCTGAGACGGTCCATTGGTGCTCATTCTGGTTAAAGACAAGTTTTAAAGGAATGGAATTGCTGAATGAGGATTCCCCATTCTTTCAAAATATGCTTAACATGCTTAAGATAATAGTGGGGGAGGGGGAGAGCATCTGTCTTAGTACAGTTTGAAAAATACAACCAAGGAAACCGTTAGCTGGGTGAAGTTGCATAATTCCAAAATCATATATGTTCATTTGCTCCCCCAGGCCCTGAAATGAAGACGCAAGACAACAATTCTCTGGAAAATAATACATGACTATTAACTACAGATCTGAAGGGACAGCAGTGGGTCTAACAACAGTGCATCAGTCCTCTGTTCCACTGCATTCAAGGAGAAATAACGGAACTGTCGGTCTTGAGTTAGAAATAAGTTTCTTTGTCTGAGTGTTCCTGTGTATTATATAATAAACAATCCAATTTCCACATCCTAATCATGGAAGGAATTCTATGGTCTCCTCAGTTCGATAAAGTGGAGGTGTGAGGGGAAGGGTGTACCCAGTGTGATGTAGTGGATTGAGTAATGGGCTAAGATTCAGGAGAATCTGTTCCCTGGGTCTGCCATGAAAACTCACTTGAGGTGTGTGTATTCTGGGAGTTGCAGTTCAAAAGCATCCAAGTAACAAAGGTTAAGAACCACTGATGTAGTGGACTGAGTAATGGGCTATGATTCAGGAGAATCTGTTCCCTGGCTCTGCCATGAAAACTCACTTGGGAAGTGTGTAGAACTGATAATGTGCCCTCAAGTCAGTTCTGACTTATGATGCACTTTTTAGGGTTTTCAAGCTAGAGAGTACAGAGAAGTTGTTTTCCATTAGTGGCATAGCATGGGTTTTCAGCATCTGGGGCAAGGAGGGTCATGTGATGCAATGCATGGATGAGGAGGGGGCAGGAGAACCCCCAGGGTGGTGCCATGAAGTGGCCATGGGGCCACTTGAGGTCCACGCTGGTGGCAACAGACTCAGTGCCCATGGAGTCTTGGACTCGGACTGCCAGGAAGGGGAAGAGGAGTCAAGGAGTGGCTGCATGAGCATGCCTGGCAGGGCGACCCATGCACCCCTATGAATGTTGTGCCCAGGGTGACTGCCCCTATAGATTCCCCCATGCTATGCCACTGTTTACCATTTCCTTCTTCTAGATGCATCCTGGTACACTGCAGCTTGCTCAAGGCCACACAGGGTGGCTTTTTCTGGGATGCCCAGTGGGGTATTGAACTTCCAACCTCTGGCTCCACTGCCAGATACTTAACTCACTGATCTACCAGCCTGCGAATTGTGTGCTGTCAGGTCAATTCTGACTTATGGCAACCTTTTTCAGGGTTTTCTAAATAGAGAGTACTCAGAAGTAGTTTGCCATCCCCTTCTTCTGAGGCCATCCTTATGAATGCAGCTTGCCCAAGGCCACACAGGCTGGCCCTTCTGGGATGCACATAGGGGAACTGAACTCCCAACCTCTAGTTCACTGAGCTATTCAGCCAGCAAAAAACCTGTTGGGGTTGCTGTAAGTCAGTTTTTATTTGAGGGCACATACAAAACCAATGTGTATGAGAGAGTGGGTGTGTGCATGAGTGTAAGCATAGAGGAGACTGTTTAAATTTAGTGATAGAGACTGTTAATTCTTTTACAACAACAGTAATTTTTCTAGGCCCTAGTGACAATATATTTCAGGTGCCAAGTATCCTTTAAATACGTGCTTAACTATTAAGATAAATTACTCTGTAATCATGCTTTCATTAGAGTCACTGGAGGTTTTAGATTATAATTCATATTTTAGCTCCTTACTGTATCAACTGTATGTTTTCATTTAGCAAATGACAACCATCATTTTATTTGCCTAACAGGCAGAAGCCATCCATGTGAACCCTCTGTATATCTTGATACCATCAACCCTCTGCACTTCATTTGCCTTTTTGCTACCCGTAGCCAATCCACCCAATGCCATTGTATTTGCATATGGGCACCTGACAGTTATTGACATGGTAAGTTACTGGGAAACAATGTGTGATTTGCAGGCATATTTTTCAATATTATTGTCATTATGATTAATAATAGCACCACCACCACCAATATAATGTTCAAAACATTGATCTCATCATCTCAGCAATCTTAGGAATATAGGAAGAGCCTTGGTGAGTCAGAGCAACAATCCATCTTCTGCACCCATTCCGTTTCCACAGTCAGCAACCAGAAACCTTCAGAAAACCCACATAAGCTTGAAAGGCAATAAAAAGTAGAAACACCAGTCTGCTCCTAATCCCCAGACGCCAGCAGCTGGTACTGCCTCTGAAGCTAGAGGTTTCATCTAGCCACTATTACTAACTAGGGCTTAGAAAAGTTATGTTTTGCAGACCGCAGCCCCCAGAATCCTCAGGTCAGCATAACCTATGGCCATGTTGCCTGGAGAATCCCAGGAATTGTGGTCCACAAATGTAACTTTTCCAAGTTCTGTGACAAACAGCGATTGATGCACCTGTCCTCCATGAATTTGCCCAGTCCTGTCCAAAAGCCTGATAGGAACTTTATCCTTGTATTCCTTCTTTTCTTATTGATAATATTTATTAATTCAGGTTTTCCTCCTAGGAGTCAAAGGAAAGAGACACACTTCTCCTTTGCCCATTTTATTCACCCTACAACTTTGGTGTGTGTGTGTGTGTGTGTGTGTGTGTCTCTCTCTCTCTCTCTCTCTCTCTCTCTCTCTCTCTCTCTCTCTCTCTCTCTCTCTCTCTCTCTCTCTCTCTCTCTCTCTCTCTCTCTCTCTCTCTCTCTCTCTGTGTGTGTGTGTGTGTTGAACCCAAGTCTCCACTAGTTTTCAATTACTGATCATCACATGATGGGAAATCCAAAAATCAACAATAAATCTTACAGCATCTCATTTTACAGATAGGAGCAAGCGATAGGGACCACCATATTTATGCTGCTCTGAGATAAAGCAAGGACTTCCTGTTTCATAGACTGTAACTCATACTCTACACCAGCTCTTCTCGATATATCATTTGGTATCCAGAATTTCTTTAGAAAAGTTGGACGTCTGGTTAATCTCTCTCTCTTTTTTAGGCGAAAGCTGGCTTGGGTGTCAATATCATTGGAGTCGCCGTCGTCATGCTTGCAGTCATGACATGGGCTGTGCCCTTGTTCAATCTCCATACTTATCCCACTTGGGCACCATCAATTGCCAACAACACTGGACTTTAGAAATAAAGCAGTAGGCTCTTTTCCCTGCTCCTCTTGTGTAGGCGGCAAGCTGATAGACCTGTGTGGATTGGTCTAGGATATTTTATGCTTGTTGTATCCTTGTCTCAAAGGCTAGTATATCTGCATGGAAAGTTGCAGCTCGAACACTGCAACAACAAGTGAGTCTACACAAGTGTCTCATTAATTCCTCCAGTTCAGATTTTACTCAGGAGAGTCAGGGGGTTAACATCTGTGATTGCACACATTCGTTATGAATGGTGATTTGCCCCTATTCTTAAGGCTATAAAGTAAAATATTTGACAGTGGAGTAATAGCTACAGAAGTGCCAAGAACCGGTCCTTTTGTCGTCCTAAATTCATGGCCAGTGTGTTTCCCAGTCCCAATGGATTCATTAATATTTTCTATGGTAGCTTTAAAACAGACCAACATGATCATTGGAGTATATGAAGCATATTGTCCCATATAAACTAGGTTCTTCACTGTGAACATACCTTTCCCCATAGTAGTAACTCTTGGCATCTAATGGGGAAATATTTTCTAGAATTATAAACATGAGATGGAAGTTTCCAAAGGCCAAGCTGTCAATGGATGCAACCGTTGGGCAGAAACAGAATATTCTGCATTTGCATCTTTACTATGGGCATTAGATGACACAACAGAGGGTCAAACTAGCTGATAGCATGTATTCAGAAGAAATGCTCCCCTAAGTGGTAAAAAACATCTGTTTGTCATAATTCATGCATTTCTTCACTTCAATTCTGCCTTGCATTAAGGAAGTTTTGTTTTGTGATTACTCACTTAAAGCAGTAACTGAATGAAACATGGCTTAGTTTGAAAGTCTGAATGTCATGGCATGCATCTCTGAGGAAATCTAGTTGACAGAAGGAAAACAGGCTTACTTCAGAGAATACACATAACCCTTGACATCTAATTTGACCCAGAAAAGTTGAGTTTACATAATTTTTTCAAAAACCAATAAATCACACCATATCATATTGATTCTACAATTGTTGAACTGAATGCATTACACTGATTCTGTAGGATTTTTATTCCTGTATTTTTAAAAAACTAAATATGACCTTTTCCATTAATTTCCACTGTATTCCAGTTGCGCTCTGTGTGTATGTGCTTTAATGAAAACAAATAATCATGGAAAAATTATGCCAATTTGTCCCATTCTGGTGATATGTGATTGCTGGAAAATATTTATATAAACTTATCCCACTCTGGAATACTGGTTATCCAGATTCATGTAAATATAAAAATGCAGAATAAGTTCCCTATTTATTGAAATGTCCTCTTCTTCTAATATTTGGATAAATTATAATGGAGAAAATCCTTCTTGTTTTTTATTTTTTATTTTTTTAAAGCCCTGTTCTATACTAGAAACTCCAAACGCATCCGCCTCTGTATAGAGTGACACTTTTTATTTATTTGTGTTTTTCTGTTCAGAGCATACCTTTTTCTTGTAATAAACTCTGTGTGGGTGGGTGGGTGTATGTGTTTGTGTGTCTGGGGGTGGGTGGATGGTTGTGTTTGGCCAGTATCAAGAATTGCAAATCAGGACATTCCATCAGTTCTTTCACAAAAAGGATCATATCAGCATAATGAATGGTGATAGTTTTGAAAGATTGGATTTATTAATTTGAGGCTGAGTCTTACAGATTGTTGGCGTTCACTCTTTATGTTGGTAAGTGGAGCTGGGATGTCTATACTACATTATATAGAGCACGTATGCACTGTCTAGATTCGTTATAAGATGCCTTACAGTATTTATAGAAATGTTCCCCCCCTTTTAGCCTCAGTGAGGTTTTGGGATGCAGTAGCACATTTAAACATCACAAATGTTTCATTAGAAAATTACTCTTCTTGGTGGAGTGGAGAGAAAAAGAATATGAGATATCTTCGTTGAAAAATTATTTCAGAGGCATTTTGTCTCAGGTCTGAAGCTGGGGGTGCTGTAGCCAGATAATCTTTCCACATGCACCCTAACCTTCTGGAATCAGAGTTCTGGCTCGAGTAGAGATACTACTCAGATAAAGCAGCCTCTCTTTTTCTCTGCAAGCAGTCATGTTTCTGCGTCCAGTATTAAGGCTGGGGGAGGAGGCAAGGCTAGGATGCTCCCCTCAACATGTGCGGGTTGCGTGTACCTTCTTAGCAACTGAATAGGGCTACAAAGAGAGGTGAAACAGGAGACATTTAAGCTATACATTCAGTTGCTAAGAAGGTACATGCAACCCACACGTGTTGAGGGGAGCATCCTAGCCTTGCCTCCTCCTAGCCATGCCTTAATACTGGACGCAGAAACATGACTGCTTGCAGAGAAAAAGAGAGGCTGCTTTATCTGAGTAGTATCTCTACTCGAGCCAGAACTCTGATTCCAGAAGGTTAGGGTGCATGTGGAAAGATTATCTGGCTACAGCACCCCCAGCTTCAGACAATCATGTTTCTTTGTTCACTGCAACCATCAGAGACAAGCTTAGCATGCTTCCCTCCATTTATATGGGCTCTACTCACCTCCTTAACAACTGAATAAGGCTGATCTCTCATTTCCCATTGGCTTCATACTGCAGTGGATATATCAAGAACAGGGAGAATTACAGTAAATAGAGCAAGCGCAAGTCAAGCTGAAGTGCATTTTTATATGTTGCCAGTCCACAGTATGTTGTGTTACATCCGCTGTGAATGTTTAGATACAGAAATAATACAATGTTTTGCTTATTTGCTTGCTTTCTAGATACCCCTAGGTAAGGAAAAACGATGAATCCTCCACCCACTTAGGCCCTCACCCAAATTAAATTGTTATCTCAACGGGCAATCACAGTGAGCAGAATTTTAAACTAAGAGCTTTGAAACTTAAAGAACACAGAGAAATTTGCTCAGCAAGATTTAACTGAGTGGAATGAATTGTCTACAGACCACACACGCTCTCATGCAATGCTTGCACAATTTTCAGGGATGCATCAAATCATAATAATATTCTCCGTACATGGACAGCCAGGTATTTTCTTTTCCTAAGAATTGTTCCAAAAAGGTGGATAATGGCTATCAGGAAGTCACAATTTCTTTCCTGTTTAATAATAGGAATGTCCACACATTTAGGTTTCCTGCTTGTCTAATCTGGAGGTTTCCTATAAGCCATTTGAGAAAATAATAACATGTCCCAGAATATCAGAGGAGTACTTAAACCTATAAATGATGCACTTATTAATGTTTCACTCTGATGTGCATCGAAATGCATGTTCGCAGTAGAATGCAGAGTTTTAACTTCGGTCTGTAAACCCCTTAATAACCACCTTGATCACTCATCCATGTGGGATGAATAATTGAGACCCTAATCCTATCTCACTGGAGAGGAACAAATTAAGTCACAGTTTCCAACTCCACAACTCTGTGACTTCACAGTTTAAAATCCACAAGCCAACAAAGCCTGTATTTTACAATGATTTACACCATGGTCCTTGAAAGGAAAAGGTCAGCAAATGTACTTGAGCAGAAATTGCAATTATTAGAAGTAATCTGGAGTAAAACCTGTTTTACAGGCTGAGAAATGTCTTCCAGACAATTTCACATGCCCTACTTAACAGCACTTTCAAATATATATCCCACTGTTGACATTGCTGGATTTTAAGTATAAAAATGCAATTTTCATTTCCCTTGCAAGCAAGGGTTTAGGGTTTAATTGATCTATAGCCATTCAGCAAGATAAATTTCCAGTCCCATCCAATTTTTAAAAAACAACTTTTCTACTTATAATTTTATTTGGTTTGTCAATATGCAGAGGACTGCCAGTTCCCATGGTTTCACTTATCCCGTCTGAAAGCATTAAGTAAATGAATAAATAAAACCACAGAAATAGGTGTTTCCAAAGTGTATTACCAGAGTTGGCCACTAGAGGTAACCAGAGACCTATGCTATATATACAGTATAGCATTTCTAGTCTCATGCTTCCCAAGGTCTCTGCGGGAGGCTTGGAACTAATTCCCCATGGATACAGTGATCCTACCATATTCTTAATTTTAATTCTTAGCACATCAATTTGTCCCCAGTGTTGTACACATTTGGTAGGAGCTCCTCACCACCACATATTAACCTGACCTCTCTGTATAAAAATGTGTGTGCAAGCCACCAGTTAATACATGACGGTTTCAGCAAAGCCAAGGTCTTTCTGTTTTCTCTTCTCTCTTGTGAAACTGACACAGGGAAAGTTTTGTGACGTACAGGAGGACCCCCTTATTCACCAGATCAGTATATGCTGATTCACTTATCCACGGTCTGAAAATATTAAAAGAAAAATCATAGAAAAATCTATTTCTAAAGATGAAGTTATCAGAACTGGCCAGTGGAGGAGGCAAGAGACTGTGCTATGTATAGCGTTTGCTATTAAACTAGGATCTGCTATAATCTATGTTTTTCAGCATCTGCAGGGGGGCTTGGAACCGATCCCATGTGGATACGGAGGTCCTGCTGTATTTGCAGGTGCGGTTGCTCTAAAACCAAGATGGTGTAGGCACTTTTTTTCCTCTCAAGGAGGCTGGTGCAGACAATCATACTTTAATTTTTAAGAAGATGTGAAACTTACAGTGCTGCAACCAAGGCCATCCCTACTGTTAGGCGGAGTGGCTATCATAAAAGGGCAGCTAATTATCAGTTGTTTCTTTTTGTTGCATTTTTCGCTACAGAGCACAGAGAGAAGGTCTTGCAGGATTTTCCTTTTCTGTTGTTAAAATAACAGGACTGGGTTAAGAAATCTATATATAGAAACTGACTGGGGAAATGGAGAGGGATTTGCTGTTTCACCTGTAGCACCAAAATGTATTAGGGCAACCCTAGTTAAAACAGAGAAGGCTTTGCCTGTTCTAATCAGTTTCATTAGCAGGGAATGACAGAAAATGAAGCAGAGAAGAAAACTAGAAAAATTGCTGTATGGTTATGTCTGATGAGTCTAGCCATAGAACCAGCTAGATTAGCATCCAATAAGCAGGTGGAAGAATATCTTCACTTGCAGATGCTGGAAGGGTATGGGACATCTAAGGTAGAATTAGCACCATGTGTGGAAAAAAAACAGCGCTGTGTGCATTAACTAAACAGAGAATGTCCTCGGGTGATAATTAAAATCAGAGTTTGGAAACCCCAACATTTTGAACTACAAAGTAACTTTTTCATGCTCTAAAATTCAAAGCACTTTGAAACACTCCTCAATTTCATCATGGTCTTATTCATACCAACAGTTCTTATTGTAAGAAAACAAGTTACCGTACTGTTTATTATAGAAATGCTCTGTATTAAAAAATAATACAGTAACTATTTTTAGCTAACTGGAATAATTCTCTACTTAACTAAGTTGTGAGTGCAAAGAGCCATGATTGCCCCTCACCACCACTTCAGTACACAGGAAAAATGTTTCATTTTTTTTCTCCCAGAGAGGCTCGAGAGGTAAATGTGAGAAGGAAGGAAGTGACATCAGAAGAGAGCTGAAGAATACCAGTTAGCCTAGGCTCACAATAGGTCAGAACAGGTAAAGAATATTCTAGGAATTCTCACACCTTTCTGGAGCAGAGACATGTGTCTTCGTTACAGTAGGATGAGTGAAACCCAGTCACCTCCAACACTTTCACCATCTATTTTTTAAATTGGCTTTAAAATATCACCATACATGAGCTGGCACCACAATATGGCTCCTTCTTTACCTCTCTGAAATGAGAAAGGACTTAAATTCAAGGATTGCTTGAGGAGTTCATGTGGTCTGCACCTGTCCTTCCTGGACTAATATGCAGGATCCAGTTGTCTTCGACATGGTGATTCGTTAGAGTGTGGTCAAAGTATAGAATATGTATTTAAATACAGATTTCTATGCACAGTTTTGCAGTTTTTTAAAATGAAGATTGGTGCTAAAATAGAACAGGACAGAACCCTGAATTAACCCATGCTAAATTGATATGGACCAGAAATGGAGCAATCTTTCCACTCCTCCCTATCTACGCAGCCATTTTGGTTCCACAGTTTAAATGCCGTGCTTAGGCAAAATGTTTATTGATGGAGGTGCAAAAAAAAAATGTGATTGTATTCTTTGGCATGGCCATAAAGCAACTATACACTCAGTGTGGGATATTTAGACTACCTAGCTTTAAAGTACCATTAGCCTATTATTTTTAAAATAATTTATTGTTTTGATAACAGTTTCATCTATCTGCTTTATGTAATTCCATTTCCTTGCACAATGGTTTTATATTTTACATCCAC